AAATTTTAAGTTTCAACACTTGCTCTGATTCTCATTCTTTCATGAATGCATCCTTCTTCCTTGCAGCATTTTTCACCTGTCATCAGGACTTATCCCTGTCTTCTATCAGCTAAGTATTGGAATCGCTATTACTCATCTCCATCTTCCATTACAAGAATCACATCTATCACCTTCAGTCTCATACAACTGCATTTCTCACCAAATATATACTTTTCCTTCACATAGCTGCACATCACTCAACAAATGGCAAGATATACACTTTTATAAGTAAAATATATCTCTTATCCTGCCAATCCAGAAGTGTATCTTATTTTCTTTCAGAGTTATTTTTGCAAACTCTGCTGCTTGCATTTTTTAAGTAAACATTTCTCTAGTTTTCGGTCACAACTTTCCATTTAATTAAATTTTATGAAATATGGGCCAATTCTGTTCAAGTCAAAGTGTCAGTGTCTGACTGGCAGGAAGACGAAATGAAGAGCTCTGTGCAGCATGTCCCATTTTAATGCTCTCTGCTACTCCAGGGAGCTTCTTCAAGTTAGACAGAGATCCCTAGAGTCAATCTGCATGACAGCCATATGGATATTTTTCCCAAACATGCTGCAAACCAGTTTCCTTCAAGCTCTGTGAATTTGTTGTATCAAGAAAATTAATTAAGGAAAACATTAATCTGTGTTAGGTTGAGACATATATTGGACACCCTCTGAAAACCCCTATTAAAAGGGAGAAACATGTTGGAAGCATCAATGTGGACAACCCATTGGAGATTATTCTTGAAGAAACTCTAGAGATCACATAACACTGCTCATATACTATGAAATAAAAATACATTCTGATAATGAAATAACAGCATGTCAGGATTTAAATATACAACTTTATAGATATTCTATGTTTTACATCCTTGACTCACGAGCTGGCATTCCTAGGACTCTCATCTTCCTCATGCTCTTCTTCCTCTGCCTCACTACCCTGACTACTGCATGTGATGGACTTCAGAACGGGTATGTTCTCTAAACAGGTGTGACCTGCCTCCTCCTCTTCTTCGCTCTCTCTAGCAGTCCAAAGATTCTCCCATCGACTGTAAACATCAATTGTTCATTCATGTGACCACGGCTATAAAACTCACATTTTAAAATCAATTAAATGAAGATCAGCTTTCCTGACATTAAAAAAGTCTTCTCAGAAAGATTTACAAATATCATCCCCAAATTTATTAATAGGAATAGTAAGTCATTAGATGAGAATGACATGGTTCTCAACAGGATACAGTTGGAGAAAATGTCAGGAAATTGTCAGTCAAAATTATCATGCCCTGTTCAAATACTGAAAGGTTAAAGAACTGTATGAAATATTTATTCCACATATACTTACAAATGGCTTGCCTAAGTATCTACACAACTGTTAAGATATTATGCTTGTGTGATTACATGTATCAGAGATCCAGAATAGGCTGAAATTCCTTGCTGAAAGTACGCACAATGGAAAAGAGTACTTGCTGCCATATACTGTCAGGAAGAAAGAGCCAGTGTGTGTTGGAGTATTATTGTGGAGATCAATCTGTGAATCCCTGTTCAACTATGGAAATCCATTGGCTGATCCTGGGCAAATCACACACTCAGCATCAGGGGTAAAGGTAAAGGTAAAGGTTTCCCCTGACATTAAGTCTAGTCATGTCCAACTCTGGGGAGTGGTGCTCATCTCCATTTCTAAGCTGAAGAGCAAACGTTGTTCATAGACACCTCCATGGTCATGTGGCTGGCATGACTGCATGGAGCACCGTTACTTTCCCATCGAAGCGGTACCTATTGATCTACTCACATTTGCATGTTTTTGAACTGCTAGGTTGGCAGAAGCTGGGCCTAACAGTGGGAGCTCTCCCCGGATTCGAACTGCCAACCTTTTGATCAGGAAGTTCAGCAGCTCAGCGGTTTACACACTGCGCCACTAGGGGGCCAAGAATCAGGGAAGGAACAGGTAAATCCACTCTGAAAAGTTTTGTCAATGAAGTCTGTGACAGATTTCTTTAGAGTTGCCATAACTCAGAAACAACATGAAGGCACACAACAACTGTGCTAAATGGTTCTCGGTCTTTAGGCCTACTCTAAATGATATCCTTCTCTCTAAAATAATCCAAGAGTATATTGAAAGAATACTTTCTGTCAAAGCAGCTAGGCAAACATGGAGACACTCCTGGCAGCTGGACTATAAACTATGGGACTCCCTTTATATAGAAATTCAGCAATTCATCAGAATTGTTCAGAAGCATTTTAAGATCACCAAATTGACTTTTAGGCACTGGGTTAAGAAGGATCAAATATAATACAAATCCAGTTGTTTCATTTTATTTTAAATTAAATTAAATTAAAAACATTTTACATTTGCTTTTCCTTCTTAGTGTTACTTTTTCTGATGAGATAATCTGAAAAAATGAAGCATGTCAGTTATTCTGTGCTTTATTTCTCCAATGATTTCTCAAGGCTTGGATACCGTTTAACTGTAACAACTAATTTTTCTTTCATTCGCTGAGTTTTAAACTTCTTCTTGCAAAAAAAAAATGAAAAACACAGTTTTTTAAGTTCCTTTAATATGGGGGGTTGTTTAATGTTTATGCATCAATTATTAAAATGAAATGCAGAAACTAGTGCAGAGTGTTGGCACCAGTAAATACAAATAACAGCCATAGGAACATTTGTGTAAGCTATAATTTTCTGTAATTATCGATATGTGTTTGGAATATAAAATTGTTTGACATTTTTTAAAACAATAAATAAAATGAGAGGCCGCATGTGTCATAAGTAACCAGGCAGCTCAAACAGTGAATTATAAAATTGGCCAATTCTACATCTGTTAAAACAGAAGGAAAACCAGCACACAGCCTTATCTGATATGATGAGGGTTTTTTTCAGATGTCACAAATCATTTCAAAACATTATGTAATTAAATGTAGAGATGTTTTCACCAACCTAATCACAACTAAGATTTCGGAATTTTCACTGCCAAGACCCTGCACTGGTTAAATGTTGTTGTTGTATGGTTCTTCAAAAAGAGCTTGCCCTTGCCTTCTTCTGAGGCTGAGAGAACCTGACTTGCCCAGAGTCACACTATGGATGTCCATGGCCAAGCCTCCAGAGTCAAAACATTATACCACACTGGTTCATTGGCCATATGTACTTACTTTATTGTTACAATAGAGAGAACTTGGACCATCACATCTGACCTGGCTACAGGCCCTTATTTGGGGCTAAAACAATCTTGAATGCCTTAGTAAATAACCTATACTAGAAACTAGACAGAGAGGAGACTCACCTCCTGGTTCTATCAGAACTTTCTGTGGCATTCACTATTACCAACTATGATGTTTTACTTGTACATTTAACTAGTATGTGATCTGGAAATACAGTGGTCCTGGTCTTCTCTATCTGAGCAATCTCAGAAACAAATGTTGGGAGACCATTGTTTAGCCCTGTTTTCTATTGCCAATGTGAAGTTGCTTTATTAGTTTGGGTCAATATGCTGAAGGCAAATAGTTCTAGCTTCCCTTTTCAATTGCTGCCACAAAAGGCTGTACTAACTAATGACAGGATGAAAGAATGAAGTAGAATAAGGCCAACAAGGTGAAGTCCAATCCAAATAGGACAGAGATAGTATTAAGTCATAGATAAAACAGTTTAACAAAAAAAATCTTGGTGTCTGGGTTTTTAGGACCGTTCCTGGTTTTAATTGGGATGCCAATTCAGAAAATTGCACTGGATAGGCCACATCAGTTCTAGTTTCTTACATGTGGTTATCTTGCTTTTCTATGGGTGAGCAGATGAAGAATGTCATATGACATTATGTTCTGTTATCTCAAAAATTAAGAGCTGATAGGGGAAAGCTTTTTTGAATCCAGGTTAAATATACCCAGAAACATTTGAGGCACCAAAATATGTTTTCACCAGTGTAATCACTGATCAAGAAGTACTGTCTATTCCAGGTTTCATTACAGTCTTTCAGTTCAAAGTTCGAAAATTGGGCCAGTTTATCAGCTTGACAGTGTTCCTCAATCCATCCTTGTCCTTATATACATAGGTGGTTGTTATGATCAGTTGACAGATACATTACAATAGGAAATAACAGCCTATTCAATTTGTCAGTAATCGTAATAGGACTATCATTGGATGTAGGAAATGCTGGAGCGTGGCAGCTTATGACTTCAGCTTAGAGTGTAACACCTAACACCATCTATTCCCTCTGGAATACTCCATCCCTTGTATTCTGTGACAGCTTTGCTTTCCAGAACATCTACAAAGGGAGAAGCTACAACAGCCTGGCACACAACTCTTTTTTTTCTGAGTTGCTACTGATTCTAATACATTTATAATCTGAAGTAATTAACTGCAATATTCTGGTATACAGAGCAGACTTGCTTGAAATGCTGTTTGATACCTTAAAACTGTGTACAAATGTGGTTATTACAAAACAAAACAAAAAATCAAATTTAAATATGCCAAACTCACTGAACAAATGCAAGGGTAAATAATCACAAACAGTGATGGTTTCATATGTGTTTCTTTTTTTAATGCCTAAATGCCTATCAATAAAATAGCGAGATAATAATTAAAATTATATGCTTTATTACACATAGGGAAGGTCTTTTCTTCTGCTTTTGTCTTCCACGTCAAATAATTAGACAAACGTCCCAGAAAAAGAGTACTCTTCATCTTTAACAATCCTAGTCAAGTTTTGAAGTAATATCAACAATAACCTTCCACACATAAATAAATACATGACATAGAAATTAAGAGCAGAAAATGCAGATCTTTTTTTCTAAATGCTACAAATCTAGATATGCTTCCATATCTAAGGTCTAAATCTGTAAAAAGAACAGAAACCAAATACTGTATAAGCCTCAAAGACCTGCAGTGCAATATAGAGAAAGAGTCACTGTAGACATTAAAAATATGAAAGACTGTCAATGATTGGAATTGCAAATATTTGTTTCAAAGAAGAGATAAAAAGTTTACCTTGATGGATTCCAAGAAATAGACCACACTGGAGATAAAGATCCACCAGGTCTTTCAATTTTCACTTTCTCCTCACCATTTTTATTTCTTATGCTGACAACACCATTAAACATTCCTAAAGCAAGGTACTGTCCATCATTTGTCCAACTGAAACGAAAAAAGAGCAGACTGAAGAAATATTCATCACCTGAACACTAGAGAGGGTCAAGACCCCTGCAAAAGTTAAATTCTGCATTGGGGAACTGGAATACCAAAAGCTCCAGAGAAAACGTTTGTCTCTTATATGGCTTTACTTTACTTACAAAGTGACAAAATATAAATCTGAAGTTATAGTTTCACCAAGAAAACCTTCAAATATGCTTCATGCTCCAATGCAGTGATTGGCAAAGTGCAGTCCATGCATTCCAGTAGCCCTTGGGACAATTACATGTGATGTTTGGAATAGTAATAAAAATCATCATCATCATCATCATCATCATCATCATCATCATCATCATCTTTATTTATATTCCGCTTTATCTCCCCAGAGGGACTCAGAGCAAATTACAGTACACATATAAGGCAAACATTCAATGCCTTTTACACATCGAACAACGACATATAATACACAGATAAGGTAAAGGCCTTCCCCTTTTCATTACTAGCATCTGGAGGCGATGCTCAACTCTGGCCATGGGGAGAAGCTCTTGTTCCATTTTCCATGCCAAGAAGCCTGCTTTTTGCCAGCATGTCTGCATGAGGCGCCCTTTTACCTTCTCTCCAAGGCGGTACCTATTGATCTACTCACATTGCATGCTTTCAAATTGCTAGGTAGGTAAAAGCTAGGGCTGACAGCTGGGAGCTCACCCTGACTTGTGGCTTTGTACTGCTAGCCCTCCCGTCAGCAGCTTTTCCTGCAGCTAGCAGCTTTAGCCACTCTACCACAGCCCTTGCTACTGCGGATCCCTAGAGGCCTTCCAAACTACCCAGACTCTGTCCTCCAAAATACTTTTTTGGAAAATGGATTTATTTATTTTTTGTAATTATTAGCCCTCAAACTAGCCAAAACATTTTGAAATTGCCTGGAAATTCAGTGGTTTATTTCCCCTGACTTTTCCTAGAAATATAAGACCCTATTTTCCTATTTCCTAAAAATAGAAGAAAGAAAAATAATCCATCCAAATGACTACCAGAAGTGAATCTGCATCACTTCCAGGGAACCCCAAAGCTTGTACACAGATAAGAAAAGCGTCTCCCACTCCATGCACAGTTTTCCCCGCTTGTTTTAAAAGCAAAGAGTCATAGGATTCAAGAATTCAAACAACAGCATAAGGAGATCTCTACGCAGTGATTGTAAACATATATTTGATAAAGTGCAATAGATTAAATTTCGTTATGGCTCATGAGTTTACCTATGGAAAATATTATTTTGTTATCACTATATCACTCTGTACGTATTACTGCAGCGTCAATATGTTTTATTTTGTTTCTGACTGTACTGTAAATTAACTAAAAATTGTTCAATCGAATACATGGAAAGCCAACTCATAAAAGCTTTTTCATTCCAAGAAAAAAATATTAAATTTAAACAATACATCTGCTTACCTACAACAGGTGATTTTATTGCTAACTTTGTGCTTATTGACAGACTTCTGTTCCGGCGACCACAAACCTTCAAAACAAGATAGCAACGTAGTGAGATCAAAATAAATTTGTTGTAACTGTAAGAAACCTTCATAAGAAACTGAAAGTCAGGAGCAACAAAATGTCTGCTCAAGACACGTTTTCCTTTGCCTAGGGCATATTCTTCACACAACAACTATACATATTATGACTAATAATCAGCCAGCAGAAGGATCAAAGAAACCAAATGCATCTCAGTGTTAAAGATTTACAAATGGAAAGTCCAAGGTTCAATCACAAATTATCTGTTGTTAAAATGATTCCAGGGAGTACCACATGTAAATGACAAACTTTGCCCGAGTTCCTGAAAAACTGCCACCAATTAAGAATAATATTGTCAGGAGAACAAACAAACTAGATAATTTACTACTTCTAATAAACTACAGTCCTGGGGTTATATCCAGTTGGGCCTTCCTGTCAACAAGACAGGTGCCACCAGCTGATCATTTCTGAGCAATTTCTGTCTCCCCTATAGGTTCTATACAATTCACACAAAACCTGTTCTGGAAGGAAATGGGGACATTCAAAGAGAGCTGCAGTGATGGAAAGAGAAGGAAAAAGTTCCATGGCAAGAGGAAAATTCAACTCACACAATGTTAACAGTTCACAACTGAACAGTTTACACTTATGATATAGATACCTCTGCTGCATGCTTACTAAGGAAGCTTTAAGATTAGACTCTAAGAAGTTTAAAATGAAGAAGACATACCAAAATCACTGGAAGAACAGGATGCCAGTTGGTGTGTAACAGGATTATAGGATACACATTGTATGGAATCATTGTGCCTGAAACAAATTAAACAATAACACTGAAAAAATCTGTAAAGTAGTAAAATTAAGCAAAAACTTTAGAAATAATATAAATGAGAACCTTTCCTGAGTCACCAAACCATATCAGGAGATTTTTACAGAAATCAAACCCAAACTAATAAGTTTCAACAAACATTAATGTGTGAAATATTAAAAAGAAAAGGCATTTGAGCATGACAAAAAATATAAAGGTATTTCTTGCATTTGTTTTCACAACAGTGGATCAGTGAAATGCCCTGTGACAAATACAGGTTGACTATCCCTTGCCTGAAGCACTAAGTGCCATACATGTTTAAGCTTTTGAATTTCAGTATTTGCATTTATATAAGAATGAAACATCTTGGAGATAGGACCCAGGTTTGAACATAAAATGTATTTGTTTCATGTACACACAGACTGAAGTTAATTTCATACACAATATTTTAACAGTTTTGAGAATGAAGTCTATATACACTTTTTTCATGTCAGGGACAACTTGAGAAACTGCACTGAACAACCAAAAAATAAAGGTGTTACTGTCTCAGCACCCACATGGAAAATTTTGCATTTCTGGATGCAAGATGCTCAACGTATGCACAGTAAGAATGATGCATCCTTATTCATACACCATATCTAAACACCATATAGGCTGTGTTGTTGTTCATTTGTTCAGTCGTCTCCGACTCTTCGTGACCTCATGGACCAGCCCACGCCAGAGCTCCCTGTCGGCCGTCACCACCCCCAGCTCCTTCAAGGTCAGTCCAGTCACTTCAAGGATGCCATCCATCCATCTTGCCCTTGGTTGGCCCCTCTTCCTTTTACCTTCCACTTTCCCCAGCATAATTGTCTTCTCTAGGCTTTGCTATCTCCTCATGATGTGGCCAAAGTATATAGGCTGTAGTTTAAGCAATTTCACCTTTTCATCTTTACAATTGTCTATGCCAGGGAAAAGCCTCTTAATTCTAGGTCTTTTAGAAACTGGTTTTTTATTTTTTAAAAATTGATCTAAGTCTTTCTATCTGCTACTACTGATTTATACTATTTATTTATATTTGTAATTTTAAAAATTAACTAACAAAAGTACCTGTCTTCATATAGAACAAAACAGTCCTCGGTTTAATAAAATGATATCTTGAAGGAAGGTTACATAACTGTTAGAACAGGATACATCACCCCTGCCCCCTCCGTTATTTCACTAGGATGCATCTGCACTGTAGAATGAATGCCATGACTCAATGTTATGGAATCTTGCAAGTCGTAGTTCTATAAGGCACCAGCATTCATTTGGTAGAGAAAGCCAAAGGTCTTGCAAAACTACACCTCCCATAATTCCATAGCATTGAAACATGACAGTTTAAATAGTATCAAAATGGATGGAATCTACACTACAGTGTAGATGCTCCTCCTAGAGTCCAAAGATGTTAGTGCAGGTTTCAAACCAGGCAGGCCAAAGACTAACCACTCTTCAGCCAAAGGCAGAGGTCCTCAACCTGCTCTTGGAGTTGGAAAAGAGACAAGTTAACTGAGGATCCCTCTATTGTGGTTGGGGGAACAGCTGGTTTTGTGCCTTTTGCCTGCCTTATACAGATTCCCTCCGCTGCCCAACCTTGCTTGGCTATGGACAACTGAATCCAGGAATCCAAGTGACAAAGAGAACCTGGAGAAGGCAAGCAAAAGACAAGAAAAATCTGTCCCTCCACCCATAGCAGAGGGATCTTTGGTCCACTTGTCTCCTCAGAGAGGATGGAGAAGAGGAGGAGACAAGTTTGATGAGGATCCATTTGCCACAGCTGCAGGAGAAGCTGGTTTCATGCCTTTTGTCTGCTTTCTTCAGATCATCTTCACTGCTAACCTCACTTAAGGAACCAATATGGACAACAACGGGTGGGCAGTTGGGCATCAAAGAAGAGCCTGGGATGAGAAATCAGATGTCTCTCTAGCTGCAGCAGAGGATCCTTAGAAAGGGACAACCAGGGCACAGTCCACTTTCAGACTAACCATCTAATGGGATAGGAAAGCCAGGTGAACAGCCAGTGGAACAGCTAGTACGGGTTGCTGCATCACCTGGCAATGTCCACATCGCGCAGAAGCAGGGAGTGACACAACAGCAGCAGTAATACTGAAGAAGATTTGGTGAATTCTTTATCCACCTCCATTGTCTACAGCCAGCCCACTTGTTTCGTTGAGTAGGTTGACTATAGAAAACCAGAGGCGAGTAATAAATCAGCAAAGAGTCCTTCTTGGGACAGCCTGCCCTAAAATAAGCAATGACATCTTCTATTCTCCCAGTCAAGGCCATGGTAGAACCAGTCCCCACCATAGCAAGAAGACGGGGGGCGGGGGAGAGAATTGGTGCTTATTTTAGGTTGTCCCCAGATTAATTCCGGCAAGACCTTAGTCTGTAGGCGGGAGAAACTGAAGAAGTGCCAAAGAGGCACTTCTGCTGTTTTTTGAACAGACATTACAAAAGGTCAGAAGCAGTGCCTTGTTGGACAGAAATACCACACTAACGAAGTTAACCCAGGATTTTGGGGAGCAGGTCTTCAACTTATACATAGTATATACAAGTAATCAAGACATGCAAAATCATGAAAGACTTACTTACGTGTATTTCAAAATTCCTTCTAATTTTGATGTCCAGATGATGACAGTTTTGTCCGCACCTCCTGATGCAAAACGCTTTCCTAGGAAATGTTGTGAAAGTCACTGAAAGTTATGAAACATTTTTACTCCCGCTGTTAATCTAAAATACACTCAAAAGTAATGATGTGCGTCAGTGCTAAGGGAAGATGGATGATGTCTGAAAAGCCTACTTCTCCAACACGTCGCTTTTTCAGGGCCACTGAACCTGAAGGCTCAGTGTTCCTCCCACTATCACCTATACCAGTGCAGATATGGTGCCACAGAGCAGCAAAAGCATTCTGGCCACAGTCAGCTTCTCTGTGACACTGAGAGAACTGAGAAGTTATCGTCTGAATCCATTTTTGGGGGGGCTTGTAGAAATGTACCAATGCCGACCCCTCCCCCCCCCCAAATTAATATTATAACAACATATGGTTAGTAGGTAGGTAGGTAGGTAGATAGATAGATAATATTGTGTGTGTGTGTGTATATATATACATATATATAAACACACACACACATATACACACATACCAATTATTAAATACACCAGTTTATCACATATTTATATTCACAGAAACTTTGAAAAGCTCTGTTGCTCAGAAAGTTTAATCAGATAAATAGATTTTATAATCTATCAATCCAATTATTATTGTTGTTGTTTATGTTTATTTATATCCTGCTTTGTTTCTCCATAAAGAGACTCAATCTAAGCAGCCTGATGATTCATGTGGTGGTGATGAAATGTTTTTGCTACCATTTTATTAAAGTAATTTTATTACTATACATATACATATATATTATTCACCATTTATGGAGGAATTGGAGAGTAAAATAAATCAAGGAGTTAAAAGCTGCAGGCATGGCATACCTACTCCACATCTCTGCACCCAATACAGAGCAAAACTATTTCTTTGCGGGTAAGGCAATGACAGGAATAAAAGAAAAAATATATTTCATATATCCCACTCACACGGTTGTAAAATGCAAGGACTCCACAGTAGTGTTTGCAGAATCTGACTGATATTGGACTTTCTATGTTTCCAATTGTAATTATTGTGCTGTAACAATGTCAATGACAAACAGGATTTACTGGGGTTTTTTTAATCAGTAAAACTTCACACATTCACCCATAGGTTTATTTATTTGATTGCACTATTTATATCCAAACTAATATAAAAAGGTCACTGAACGACATAAAATAAATTCAACTTAAGCAATTTTTTAAAAATGTAAACAATATAAAGGTTTTAAAAGGCTAAAGCATATTAAACCATTCACAAGTTTCAAAAAATATATAGTTTACAATTGGTTGATATAGTTTAAAGGAATTGAAATTATGCTCTTGTGCAGAACTTGTGTGAAATCAATTAGATCATAAAAGTTTTATGTATTTCGCATTGTGTCGTACTGCTAACACAAACGACTTGAATGCATCAATACTGTTTTGATAAAAAAATATCAGTAATCAGTCAGTAAAGCAAGGATACGCAACTGTGCAAGGGATAAGGACAATTTGTTACAGGGCCAACCCCATGCACCAGAAATTCAGTAACATTTTTGGTCCAGCCAGAAGTGACATCTCATCACTTTTATCTTGGGTTTTTCTGCTGAAATTCAGCACTTTTTACATTCTTTGTGAGGGACAAGGAAACTCAAATTGCTACATTTTTGCATTTTTGTAGTAGTTTGGAGGTGAATTTAGCAGATTTTGTAGCACTTGGATCTCGGAGTCTCCAGAATGGCTAGAACAGAGGTAATGATGGTCACATGCTTTGTTTTTATTTTTAACTGTAACATCTTTCATCACATATTTTGTTTTGTACAGCTTTTTGACACACAAATCAGATTGATATAGTCAATTTTCCCATCAACAGGAAAGTTAAAAACATTTATGAATAATATATTGTGTTATGAGAACAAAAGATTTGAACTATTTTTGACACTGTTGTTTCTATGAACCACATGAGCCTGATCAAATACCACTAAGATGGAGAAATCTAGAAGATTCAAATTACCATCTTTAGCATAAGCTACACAGAATACTGTCTCCTTATGAGCTTTCAAGGGCTGGATTAATGTTCCATCAGAAGTGTCATATACCTGTAGAGATAAAATATGAAGAGAAGAATAAGACTTCAAATGCAAAAAATCAATGCCACTGGACTGAAAGTTAGCTTGTTTACTAGAACAAAGTTAAGCTGCACAAGAGTGCCATCTCTGTTCAAAGTCTTTCATAACCGAATTGTTTTTAAGTAATCAAAATGAATCACAGTTCTGCAGTTTGCCACAATTTTTAAATGTACTTGATTTTTTTTATAAAAAAAACGTTTTAAAGATAAATTACATTACTAGGTGTATCAAATATCCAATTAAAATCAGGATATTTATTTATTTATTTAAAAAGACATACCAATAGTCTATTTCCTGAAGCAATAATCAGCTGGGTTCCATCAGGCTTAAACGCAAGGTCATAAATACTGAGAAAATAAAGAAAGTTGTTAAAAGGCAAATCAAATTCTCCATTATTTACAATATTTTTTGTATGTGTTCTATCCACGTGGCTGCTGAACAAAGGCCCTCATCCAGAAAATTTTAGAAAATTCCCAGAAATAATATTCATTTATCTTTAATACATATATGTTTCCACTAGACCGGCAGTTCTCAGAGTGAGCTCTGCGGAGCCCTTGGGACTCCATGAAGCATACTGAGGGACTCTGGTGCTTTCGTCCTCCCCCTCCAATATTTTCCTCCTCTTTCCTGTTCCTTCCCCACCTCCCTTGCCCCCCCCCCCCAAAAAAAAACTCTACCTCCCTCTCAATCCAGTTCCTTTACCCCTTGCCTTGCATTCTTTCAAAACCCTATTTCCTTCCCACTTCTGAGGGGCGCATTGATTATGCTTTTCCTGCATTACAGAAGGGGGCTGGACTGAATGGTCCCTGGGATTGCTCCCATTAATATTATTATTTTTACAAAGGCTGGCTGGCCATCTGTTAAGGGTGGACTTTGACTGTGCTTTTCCTGCCTGGCAGAAGGGGATGGGACTGGATGGTCCAGGGGGTTGCTCCTATTATTATTATTATTATTATTATTATTATTATTATTATTATTATTATTATTATTACAAAAGCTGAGTGGCCATCTGTTGGGGATGTTTTGACTGTGCTTTTCCTGCATTGTAGAAGGGGTTTGGGCTGGATGGCTCCTGGGGTCTTCCGCTGAAATACTGTTAAGTTTTGTTGGTTACCTGGCATAGGAGAACCCATTATCACAAAACTGTTCATTTTAAATATTGTATTGTTCTATCAATCTGTCCAGCCCAGGAATAGGGGGAAGGGACCTCATAATCTTCAGAACAGTGGATCAAGGTTTTTTTTTCCTACTGTAGACAAGGCACCTAAGATTTTTCCAGTCAACTTATGATGAACACCATTACATGGCAACATTCAAAAAGGATTTTATTTCGTTGGCCTATATTTTTCCTCCCTCCGAGGGACTCTGCAACATACTCTTCCTCAGTTCTCCCCACCAGGGTGATGGTGATAGATGTCTGGTTCAAGCAAGCATCACAGCAAAGTGGAATATAAGTCCCAACAATCACTTTAAACTGTGCCTGCAAACCAACCAGTAGCCACTGGTTGGTTTCCACTGGTTGGGGAAAGCATTTAATTTTGCTGTATAATGCACAATTACAACAAAGTTATTCTATTCTATTCAACAAGGACAGGCCCTGGTCAGCATTTTGAGCCCACTGAAGTTTCTGAATAATTTCAAAAGTAAATTTCAAGTATAGTGCATCAAATTGTTCAAACTGGATGCAATCAAGGCATGTGCCACCATATAAAACCAAGACATGTGTATAAAGCAAGGGTGGCCCTCTGGGTGTGGCCCTCCAGGTGATGATGTCCTATAATTTCCATCATTTCCCACTTCTGGATAGGCTGGCTAGGACTCATGGCAGTTCCAAGCTAATGATATCCAGGGCCTACAAAGTACCCACTACCAACTTCATCTAAGGAACAAATCTACAGAACTTATCGTAACTTGGGGACTGCATACATGTGTGTGTGTGTGTGTGTTCTCCTGTGTTTTATCAATGTGTTTTATTAATGTTGTATTTATTTATATACTATATTTATATACCGTCCCTCTCAGCCTGGAGGCAACTCGGAGCAGTTGTACCCACTCCATATCTATGAGGAGAGGTGTGTGACTTATTATTATAATTATTATTATCACCGTCAGCATCAGCATCTCCACCAGCTAGAGGTCCCAGGATTTTAAAGAACTTACAGAAATGCACAGATAATAGCAGCATCTCAGGAATGACAGGAGGAATGGGATTAACAGTAGCCACTCTTGGCACATGCCAGGGTCAGTATCCCTTTGGTTTAAAAAGAAGGGAGATTCATCCAAAATCGCTCACGCTTCAGAAAACGTGGAATTTTTAAACTCACATCTGACTCTCACCTTCACTTCCACACTGCACAAGCTTTCCTTTTCTGCTGGAGATGACTAAAATGAGAACTCTAATGAATCTCAAGCCAGGTAAGCCCCAAGTTGTTTTGAAAGTTGCTCTGACATGTGTTTGATACCAAGGTATATTGCTGACAGTTTCAACGCATGAACATGTTTTATCCTTGCTGCTACTGGATTCTGAGTGCTGTTAAATGTGTTCTTGTTATTAGAAACAGTATGTCAGCATTTTATCATAAATGTGTTTTAGTATAATATACCGTAATGTGGTTTTATGGTAGTGTTGTATATGCCTCTTCAGCATAGACTCATTGTTGTCACTATGCATTCAAGACAAATCTGACTAATGGTGGCTTGATCACAGAGTTCTCTTGGGTCCTTCCACACAGCCATATAACCCAGAATATTAAGACAGAAAAATCTCACAATATCTGCTTTGAACTGGATTATCGGAGTCCACACTGCCATATATTCCAGTTCAAAGCAGATAAAATGTGGGATTTTATTCAGCTGTGTGGAAGGGGCCTTGGTAAGATTTGTTCACCATGGGTTTGTCTTTGCCTCCCTCTGAGGCTGAGAGTGTGATTCCCCAGGGTGACCACTGGGTTTCCATGGTCGAGGGGGAATTCAGACCTTGACATCCTGAGACATATTCCAAACCATCTTATGCTTTTCACACTTTTAGTTTAATTTGTATGGGTTTGTTATGTGGTAAATGTGTGTGATGTGTTATGTTTATTTAAGTGTAATTTTCAGTTATTTTTCAGTTAGTTGTATAAGTTCATATTGAGATTGTTTTATCCATTGTTTTTGATGTGATTTGTCATTTGGCTGCTTTTGGCTTTTATTTTATTTTTTCCATTTTTTGTTACTCATTGAAAATTGCCCTGAGTCCCTTTGGGGAGATACGGTGGGTTACAAATAAAGTATTATTATTATGATTATGATTATTATTATCCAATACTTAAAACGCTACACCACAATTACTGTGTACTCGCCAACGTTTTGCAGACAGAACCATTTGACCAAGCAGCAAAAGTGTAATTCTGGTTCAAAAGAGCAGGAAAAGAGTAGCTCAAACATTCTCCACGAGGAAAAGACAAGCTGAGGATGCATCTACACTGTAGAATTAATGCAGCTTGACCCCACTTAAACCATCCTGGCTCAATGCTATGGGATCCCGGGTGTTGTAATGCGGTAGCACTCTTGGGCAGGGAAGGCTCATGGCCTTAGAAAACATCACCTCCCATGATTCCTTGGTGCACTATGGCGGTTCAGTTCACTTGGTGCCAAATTGCATTAATTCTATAGTGTAGATGCACCCTAGGAAAGGCTGCAGCAGACTGTTTGCCTGAGCTGCTTGGGAAGAGCAGGGTGCATCAACACCAGGCATGAGAAAACTTGGGCCCTCCAGAGGTTTGGGACTTCAGTTCCCACAATTCCTAACTTCAACTCCCACAATTTCTAACGCCCTATGGGCAAAAGTATGATAGCTGGGCCCTAGTGCTGGTAGTGCTACGCTGGTTGCACAACGCAGCTCTGAATTAGAGATAGGAACATGTGCGCGAGACAGAGCATCGAGTGAGAGATGCAGCTGCGGCAGGATACCAGTGAAGTAATGTAACGCAGGTAGGACAGGATAACAGTGAAGTAATGTAAGAGTGACTAGATTTGATTCATTTTTTATCACTGCTCATGTTTCTCCCTTCCTTCCTTTCTATCCTTCCTTCCAATGCAACGACATTTTTGAACATGTTTGCCTAGGATCTCTGGATAGCCTACATTAGTATGCTTGGCTGTGTCCCCTCCCCCTTTCTACCGAACTACCTTGTCAAGTCTGTCATAGCTGTGTCTCTCACTGCGTGTGGTCTCTCGCGCACATGTTCCCTTCTCTAATTCTGAGCCACATTACGCAACCAGCGTAGCGCTACCGGCACTGGGTCCCAGCTATCATACTTTTGCCAGCCTATGGCCTACATACAGCTGTTAGGAATTGTGGGAGTTGAAGCTAGGAATTGTGGGAGCTGAAGTCCAAAATCCCTGGAGGGCCGAAGTTTGCCCATGCCTGATCTACACTGTTGAATTGCCCCAGTTTGACACCCCTTTAGCTGCCATGGCTCAATGATATGGAATCCTGGGATATGTATTTTGGTTTTTGTTTGCCATGTCAAAGCAACTTGAGAAACTGCAAGTCGCTTCTGGTGAGAGAGAATTGGCCGCCTGCAAGGACATTGCCAGGGGACGCCCAGATGTTTTTACCATCCTTATGGGAGGCTTCTCTCATGTCACTGCATGAGGAGCTGGAGCTGATAGAGGGAGCTCATCCACGCTCTACCTGGGATATGTAGTTTGGTTTTGTTTGCCGTGTCAAAGCAACTTGAGAAAGTTCAAGTCGCTTCTGGTGTGAGAGAATTGGCCGTCTGCAAGGACGTTGCCCAGGGGACACCCGGATGTTTTGATGTTTTTACCATCCTTGTGGGAGGCTTCTCTCATGTCCCCGCATGAGGAGCTGGAGCTGATAGAGGGAGCTCATCCGCGCTCTCCTCAGATTTGATCCTGCAACCTGTCGGTCTTCCGTCCTGCCGGCACAGGGGTTTAACCCACTGCGCCACCAGGGGCGCCTTATGTAGTTTGGTGAGGCACCAGCACTCATTGGCAGAGAAGGCTCAAGACTTTGTAAAACTACAATTCCCCTGACCCCATAGTGAGCCATAGTGCTTTCATTCAGTCTGCAGTGATAGCTTTTCTCTTTTCAGGATGTGTCTACACTGAGGAATTAATGCAGTTGTCATGGTGCTGTCATTCAGTTTGCAGGGATAGCTTGTCTCTTCTCAGGGTGCGTCTACACTGAGAAAATAATGCAGTTGAGATACCATGGATCATGGGGGTAATGTGACAAAGTGCTTCGGTTTCTCTGACAGAGAGTGCTGGTGCCTCATCAAACTACATCTCCCAGGACTCCACAGCCTTGAGCCATAGCAGTTGAAAGAAGTGGAGTCAAAGTGCCTTAATCCCACAGTGTAGATGCACCTCCAGCTTCTCCCAGCCCGGTTGCTCTTACCACTGCTCGGCCTTATCCCTCCAGGTCAACGCAGCTCGCATCCTTTCCACAACAGCCACCAACGGAAGCTGTCGCTTTTATTTATTCGGACTCCCCAGGCAACACGCATGCGCACTCTTGCCCACGTTAAACCGCTCGAGGACTTGCGCATGCGCATCTCCTTCCTCCCATCCCTCTTCTCTAAATTTCCACTTAAGCACCGCTGGACATAGGAGTGAAGAAACAACACAAGTACGCATGCGCAAACAAAATCTGCCTCGGCGTACTCTTGCTTCTCGCGAGATCCCACGTGACTCTCTGCCCTGCTTTCTTAATAGGCTACTACTCCCGTATCTGGTCTCAGGGGGTGAAAATGCGCATGCGTATTGAGCAGATGAATTCCCGCCTTAATAGAGAGGTGAGGCAAAATTCCTGTCGGAGAAACAATGCAGCTAGTTGTAGACAGGTATGGATACTGAACAAAGAGATGATAGACTCCTTCTTTCAGTGGCCCCCAAGTTTTCCATCCTCCAGGATTGGGGACTTCAACTCCCAGCAGCCCTCAGCTAGCTTGTTCAACGGTGAGGAATTCTGGGAGTTGGAGTCCAAAACAACAAAGTTTGAGAACTACTGCATAGATAGATTCCATTCTGAATGGCCTGCAGCCTGCCCACTTCCGAGAATGAATAGTTTGGTTTGGTCCTTCTTCACAAGTAGAACAGGAATTCAGTGCAAATGTGACATCATGATGCCAGGGAATAAATGCTTATGTTCCATTAGCACATCACTTAAGACATTGCTTCCCAACCTGTGGGTCCCCAGGTGTTTTGGCCTACAACTCCCAAAATAGAGATTTAAAAAACGGCATGCATTAAAATTCATGGGCTGTTGTAGGTTTTTTTCGGGCTATATGGCCATGTTGGGGACGAGGGACAGGGCCTTCTCTGTGGTGGCCCCTCGGCTGTGGAACGCCCTTCCCATGGACATCAGATCAGCTCCTACGCTAATGGTGTTTCGAAGAAAACTAAAAACCTGGCTGTTTGAACAGGCATTCGGATAAACATTACAATGAATATGGTGAACATAGGAACGGAATCATAAACGACGAATTTGGATCACGATTCTAGTTACGAGATGTTAATGTGTTGTTATTGATGTGTTATTGTATATTTTAAATTGATATTGTTATGATTGTTTTTAAATTGTATATTGTTATGATTGTCTTTTTGCTCTTGTTGTGAACCGCGTTGAGTCGCCTTCGGGCTGAGAAACTGCGGTATACAAGCAAAGTAAATAAATAAATAAATGTTCTAGAGGCATTCTCTCCTGACGTTTCGCCTGCATCTATGGCAAGCATCCTCAGAGGTAGTGAGGTCTGTTGGAACTAGAAAAAAGGGTTTATTTATCTGTGGAATGTCCAGGGTGGGACAAAGGACTCTTGTCTGTTGGAGCTAGGTGTGAATGTTTCAACTGATCACCTTGATTAGCATTTGATGGCCTGGCTGTTGTTTGGTGTGGCTTGCTAGTGCCTGGGGCAATCTTTTGTTGAGAGGTGATTAGATGTCCAAGATTGTTTCCTCTCTGTTGTTTTGCTGTTATAATTTTAGAGTTTTTTAATGTTGTTGTTTTTCATTTGTTCAGTCGTCTCCAACTCTTCGTGACCTCATGGACCAGCCCATGCCAGAGCTCCCTGTCGGCCGTCGCCGCCCCAGCTCCTTCAAAGTCAGTCCAGTCACTTCAAGGATGCCATCCATCCATCTTGCCCTTGGTCGGCCCCTCTTCCTTTTGCCTTCCACTTTCCACAGCATAATTGTCTGCTCTAGGCTTTGCTGTCTCCTCATGATGTGGCCAAAGTACTTCAACTTTGTCTCTAGTATCCTTCCCTCCAATGAGCAGTCGGGCTTTATTTCCTGGAGTATGGACTGGTTGGATCTTCTCGCAGTCCAAGGCACTCTCAGAACTTTCCTCCAACACCACAGCTCAAAAGCATCGATCTTCCTTCGCTCAGCCTTCCCTAAGGTCCAGCTCTCACATCCGTAGGTTACTACAGGGAATACCATTGCTTTGACTAGGCGGATCTTTGTTGCCAGTCTGATGTCTCTACTCTTTACTATTTTATCGAGATTGGACATTCCTCTCCTCCCAAGAAGTAAGCGTCTTCTGATTTCCTGGCCACAGTCTGCATCTGCAGTAATCTTTCACCTAGAAATACAAAGTCTGTCACAGCCTCCACATTTTCTCCCTCTATTTTCCAGTTGTCAATCATTATTGTTGCCATGATCTTGGTTTTTTTATGTTTAGCTGCAACCCAGCTTTTTAATACTGGTAGCCAGATTTTGTTCATTTTCATGGTTTCCTCCTTTCTGTTGAAATTGTCCACATGATTGTGGATTTCAATGGCTTCTCTGTGTAGTCTGACATGGTGGTTGTTAGAGTGGTCCAGCATATTATTTGAGAACACAGAAATGCTGGACCACTCTAACAACCACCATGTCAGACTACACTGAGAAGCCATTGAAATCCACAAGCATGTGGACGATCGTTCCAGAGCTTTGGGGCAGCCCATGAAATGGTCCTCTGGGTTGTGGTTACCAGTCGCCCCTCAGAGGACCAAGGTGTGGGAGAAGGTGATTGTATGGGAGAAGGTGATCCTTTAGGTAACCCGAACCCAAACCAATAATTCAAGGGAAAATCCACAGAAATGGGCTGCACATGTTACGAGAGCATATATTTCTGGAGTATATGGCTCCTGGAGATTTATGGTTGTGGAAGTGGAAGTGCTGGATCAGTTTGCATTAAGAGAATACTAACTGTCTTCAAGGACTGATTAGGCCAAAGGTCTGCTCAGCTCGTCACTTTGAGTGCTTTGATAGCAGAAGTTTTTATTGTACAGTAGCCCTGCCTCGGTTGTGGAATTTTACAAGGAACATCCAGATGGTTGCTTCCATCTGTAAGTATTCCAGGTGATCTTACCACATAAAAATGTCAGAAAGAGGAAAAAGAGAGAATGACTGAAAATATATTTTGATGGATGTTGTTGAGAGCCATGTGTCTGGAAGTGTCCTGTGACAAGGTGACCATATAGATTTTGATATCATAAATGGGAGACTTTGTCTGATTTAATCTGATTTTAGTGCCGGTCAGCTTCAGTATCAGTGAGACGTTTTCCTCTTATATCAGATTGAGTGAAAAACATTTATATGGAATAGGGTTTATTTTGTTTGTTTGTTTTTAAATTATGAGGTAAAAAGAAGTTATGATGCAGTTGTGCCAGGTGTAAAAAAAGGAACATTTCAGTGATCAACAAGGTAGAGCAGCTTTTGTGCTAGGAACAGGGCAAACTAAGACAGGGCAAATTTTAATAGCATTGCATTCCTCTGCAGCGATATAAGTGATGAACATGTGATGGAAGATATAAACAAAGAGAAGGGAGAAGCTACAGCACAAGAGCACCTTGAAACCAAGAAAGAAGAGACTGAGATTATCCAGTGCAAAGAAGATGAACCAGCTGAATCTTTATCAGCTCATCTGTACCATAAAGGTGTTCCAGAAGGATGGGAAAGGATAATCAAGCAAAGACAGACTGGAAAAACGGCAGGAAAATATGACATATATTTTGTCAGGTAATGCTAAGTATAAGTCTTGGGAATATACTGATGTAGCCCATGTGGCATTTCGGTTCAGAGCAGAGAAAAGAAAGTGTTACAAAGAATATACATAGTATGTAAATACACCTCAGTTAACAAAGCAAATTTTTAAAATCATGTCAGAAGCAACTTGAGAACATACTGCAAGTCGCTTCTGATATGAGAGAATTGGCCATGTACAGAGATGTTGCCCAGGGGATGCCCCAATGTGTTACCATTCTGCTGGGAGGCTTCTCTCATGTCCCCGCAAGCTAGAGCTGACAAGATAGGAGCTCACCCCGTCTTGTGGATTTGAACTGGCAACCTTCAGGTCAGCAACCCAGCCAGCACAAGGGTTTAACCCATTGTGTCACCACAGCTCTATAATAAAGCAGGTTTTTTTTCATGTCAGGAGCGACTCAAGAAACTACTGAGTGGAATGGCCCTCAGTATTGCTCTGGTTTTGTTTTGTGCTGCTTGACAGGGCCTTCCACACAGCCATATATCCAAGAATATCAAGGCAGAAAATCCCACCATATCTGCTTTGAACTGGGTTATCTGAGTCTACACTCAGATAATGTGGGATTTTCTGCCTTGATATTCTGGAATATAGGGCTGTGTGGAAGGGCCCATGGTGGCCCTAAGGAAAGTCCTATCACAGGGCATTCTTGACAAGTCAGCTATCTAATTTATTTAAAATACTGTATTTTGTCAATTCTAAGACACACTTTCCCCCATATAAAAATCTCTAAAAATTGGGTGCTTTTTGTATATACAAATAAAGTTTTTATTATTTTGGTGGTACTGAAATTAGTGTGTGCCTCACAATTGATGACATCATAGAATGGATGAAATAACGGTATGTGTATCACCACATTTTTAATTATTTATTGGCACCACAGTTAAACTGTAAATATATTTATGAAGATTTTCAGTATGCTAGCTTCAGTTTTGTTCACTATTTTTCAAAAACATGTTTTTGTTTGGAAGATAGATAGATAATTAATATACAAATGGATTAGTGCACTAACAGACTACCATATATATTCAAGTGTAAGCCGAGTTTTTCAGCCCTTTTTTTAGGCTGAAAAAGCCCCCCTCAGCTTATACGCGAGTCAAAGTTATTTATTATTTTACTCTGTTGTTATTATTATTATTACTATTATTATTATTTTACTCTATTAGTATTAGTAGTAGTAGTATTACATTTATTTTACTCTATTATTATTTTATTACATTTATTATTTTACCCTATTATTACTCTTATCACATTTCCATTATTTTACTTTATTATTATTACATTTATTATTTTGCCCTCTTTATTATTATTGGAAGGATACGTAAACATATTTGTGTTGAAGAAGGTTAGAATAATGCTTTAATCAGAGTTGGGCACGCTTATTTTAAATTACAGTTTTATGTAAATATTCAAAAACATTTAACTTACTGATGCCTCAATTAATATAATTTTATTGGTATCTATTTTTATTTCAAAATAGACCAGTAGCTGCTGCATTTCCCACCCTCGGCTTATAAGTTTTCCCAGTTTTTTGCGATTAAAATTAGATGCCTCAGATTATATTTGGGTCGGCTTATAGAATCATAGAATCAAAGAGTTGGAAGAGACCTCATGGGCCATCCAGTCCAACCCCTGCCAAGAAGCAGGAATATTGCATTCAAATCACCCCTGACAGATGGCCATCCAGCCTCTGTTTAAAAGCTTCCAAAGAAGGAGCCTCCACCACACTCCGGGGCAGAGAGTTCCACTGCTGACCGGCTCTCACAGTCAGGAAGTTCTTCCTCATGTTCAGATGGAATCTCCTCTCTTGTAGTTTGAAGCCATTGTTCCTCGTCCTAGTCTCCAGGGAAGCAGAAAACAAGCTTGCTCCCTCTCCTCCCTGTGGCTTCCTCTCACATATTTATACATGGCTATCATATCTCTTCTCAGCCTTCTATTCTTCAGGCTAAACATGCCCAGCTCCTTAAGCCGCTCCTCATAGGGGTTGTTCTCCAAACCCTTGATCATTTTAGCCGCCCTCCTCTGGACACATTCCAGCTTGTCAATATCTCTCTTGAATTGTGGTGCCCAGAATTGGACACAATATTCCAGATGTGGTCTAACCAAAGCAGAATAGAGGGGTAGCATTACTTCCTTAGAGCTAGACACTATGCTCCTATTGATGCAGGCCAAAATCCCATTGGCTTTTTTTGCCGCCACATCACATTGTTGGCTCATGTTTAACTTGTTGTCCACGAGGACTCCAAGATCTTTTTCACACGTCCTGCTCTCGAGCCAGGCGTCCCCATTCTGTATCTTTGCATTTCATTTTTTCTGCCAAAGTGGAGTATCTTGCATTTGTCACTGTTGAACTTCATTTTGTTAGTTTTGGCCCATCTCTCTAATCTGTCAAGATTGTTTTGAATTCTGCTCCTGTCCTCTGGACTATTGGCTATCCCTCCCAATTTGGTGTCGTCTGCAAACTTGATGATCATGCCTTCTAGCCCTTCATCTAAGTCATTAATAAAGATGTTGAACAGGACCGGGCCCAGGACGGAACCCTACGGCACTCCACTTGTCACTTCTTTTCAAGATGAAGAGGAAGCATTAGTGAGCACTCTCTGTGTTCGTCCACTTAACCAATTACAGATCCACCTCACCGTAGTTTTGCCTAGCCCACATTGGACTAGTTTCCTTGCCAGAAGGTCATGGGGGACCTTGTCGAAGGCCTTACTGAAATCCTGGTACGCTACATCCACGGCATTCCCCGCATCTACCCAGCTTGTAACTCTATCGAAGAAAGAGATCAGATTAGTCTGGCATGACTTGTTTTTGATAAATCCATGTTGACTATTAGCGATGACTGCATTTGTTTCTAAGTGTTTGCAGACTGCTTCCTTAACAATCTTTTCCAGAATCTTGCCCGACGTGAGGCTGACCGGACGGTAGTTGTTTGGGTCATCCTTTTTTCCCTTCTTGAAGATTGGGACAACATTGGCCCTCCTCCAATCTGCTGGAACTTCTCCCGTTCTCCAAGAACTCTCAAAGATGGTTGCCAATGGTTCCGAAATGACTTCCGCTAGTTCCTTCAATACTCTGGGGTGTAGTTGATCTGGCCCTGGGGACTTGGACTCATTAAGAGCGGCCAGGTATTCCTGGACGACTTCTTTCCCAATTTGGGGTTGGATGTCCTCCAATCCCTCATCCCCTCCATCTTGCTGAGGTTGAAGACTCTCTTTTTGTGAGAAGACCGAGGCAAAGAAGGCATTAAGTAGTTCTGCCTTTTCCCTATCCCCTGTCAGCATTGCCCCATCTTCTCCTCGAAGAGGTCCTATCGCCTCCTTGTTTTTCCTTTTTCTACTGACATAAGAATAGAAGCCCTTTTTATTGTTTTTAATGTCCCTGGCAAGTCTGAGCTCGTTTTTTGCTTGAGTATATACATAACTTATTTTCTCTGTTTTAGTCCACAGGGAAAGAAGCTAAGATCCAAACATGCTCTACTAGATTACTTTAAAAAGAATGGTGAAACTGGTCTTAAATTAGAGGATTTTGATTTTACTGCCTCTGTTCAGAAGAATAAACAAAGATACAAAGAATCCAGCATCAACCCAGGGAGATTAAAAGCAGAGAGGTGTGTCACTCGGAGCCAGATTCTGGATATTGGACTACAAAGCAGTGAAGGAGAGGAAGAACTGCAAAATGAAATAGTGGCATTTCAAACCAATGCTGAAGATTTAGGAAATATTTCCATCTCTTTACAGACTGAGTCTACTGCAGATGACATCTCAAAGGACCATTGTTTCAAATCCAAAGAAAAGGTTCAAATAAAGAAAGCTAGAAACAGTTCGGAAAATAGGAATTTGGAAGACAGCCCAAACAAAAGACAGAGAGCACCATCACATAAAAAACATGGGGTTGGAAACATTACAAAAACAAGACGAAAGAAGGAAGCATATGTCCTGTGCATGAAGGATGAAATGCCTCTTTCCCAACCAGAACTGGAGCCACATGTTCATTCGGTTGCAAGTCTCTTGGAACACAAGTCAAGCACAGACTGTTTCAACTGCGATATGGGTCCCAGTGGGACAGTCACTGTAGCCCCTAATGAAAACCTTTCAGGGCTGGAAATGCACAGAAACCTGATGCTGCCAGGAAACCAAGATGTAAAGATTGCTCTCAGCATGGAAGTTTCACAGACTTGTGATGAGAGGTGTTTTACTTCAATAAAAGGTATACATGACACAGTGAAGTTCTCTTTTCAATGATAGTAACGATGCTTACAGACTAATGGAACAGAGCGGTGGTGTTGCCCTTCTCTTTGTCCTCTAGCACTACAGATACACCAGCATTAAGTGAATTTTTTCTTCTTCTAAAAGGAAAGAGATACTATCTTTATTATTCTCTCTTATTCCTCTGGAGGAGAACATTTTCCAAAGAGATTCAAGAAGAGAGGTTTCAGGGAGAAAAGGAAATTAGTGAGATTGCCTTTCCACTATTTTCCTTCAGCACAGAGTCTTCACTGAATCTGAGTGTGAACCTGGTTCTAGTCTTACTATGTGATGCTGCTACAGTCTTTATGGGTATATTTGCCCCCCCCTCTATATATACATACATACATACATATACATACATACATACATACATACATATACGTATTTGTGTGTGTGTGTGATTATTTATTTATTTATTTGCTGGTCTGGCTTACCTATCCGAACGTATCTCTCCTTATGAACCATCTAGGACTTTAAGATCGTCTGGGGAGGCCCTGCTCTCGATCCCGCCTTCCTCACAGATGCGTTTGGCGGGGACAAGAGGCAGGGCCTTCTCAGTGGTGGCCCCTCGGCTATGGAACGCCCTCCCCAGGAATGTAAGATCAGCTCCCTTCCTTTGAACATTCTGCTAGATGGTTAAGACCTGGCTTTTTGAGCAGGCTTTTACTACTGGAACATAATTAGACGAAAATGAGTTATGGAATGTCTGATGATGCAATTGGATCACAATTTCAGTAAGGAGACATTGAGGATTTGTTTTAATATATATTATTGTTTTTTATATTTTTAACATTGAACTGTTTTTATTATTGTTTTTAACTGTACCGTTATTTATTATGGCATCGAATCGCTGCCAACTGAACCGCCTTGAGTCACCTCTGGCTGAGAAAGGCGGTATACAAAAGCAGTAAATACATCAATAAATAAATTACAAAATCAATGGTGTTGTTGAAGTCTTTCATGGCCGGAATCACTGGTTTGCTGTGAGTTCTCAGGGCTTCTATGGCCATGTTTCAGAAGGATTCACTCTTGACGTTTCGTTCACATCTATAGCAGGTATCCTCAGATGTTGTGAGGTCTGTTGGAAACTAGGCAAGAGGGGTTTATTCCACAGATATATAAACCTCACTTGCCTAGTTTCCAACAGACCCCTCAACCTCTGAGGATGCTTTCTATAGATGTAGGAGAAATATCAAGAGAGAATGCTTCTGGAACATGGCCATACATCCACAAAAACTCACAGCAACCAGAATCAATGGTACTTGTAAAAGAGTAAGCAATGTTGTTGATCACATTCACAATCAATCATATTGTTTCTCATCCTTTTTGACATTCAGAGAACCATATTCGAAGAAGGAAAACCAGTCCATATTTTTCCAGTAAACTCATCAAAGAAGGTAAAGTCTATGCTTTATGTGGGGTTTATAAAATTTACTAAAAGGGTCTGCAACCAACTGTTCTTATGTGGAAGTAAATCACATTGATTGTGTATTTGTATGGCAAAAGGTAAGCAGATTGACTTTGGAACACAACTTCCCTGAATGCAGTGGGACTTTGTTCCAAATTAAATCATAGAACAGCAGATTGCACTTTCAAAGACCAATTTGTTCATTTGTTCAATGATCATTTCAAACTTGTCCAATTATTAGCATCAACTGACTGCTATAAGTAACATCCCATAGTCCAATGTGTGTTACGAGGGAGAGAAATATATGAGTATTGGACAAGTTTTGTAATCAGGATTTTGGAAGCTGAGATATTCACAACAGTTGGCCCTCTACATTTGCAGGATTTTCCCCCCATTTTTAATTCAATTTTTTTAACAGAAAAAAACACAAAGTAAGAAAACAACAATACTTTAACATACAAATAAACATACCTGAACAACAACTACATAATTTCTCTTACCAACATATTTCTACTCTAATTGCCTTAGTAAATGTGCCCGATATTATGCAAAATGACACTGATCTGATAAAAGTGTAATGGGGAACCATAATTTCCTAAGACATGAAATCCAATTTTAAAATCGTCCTTGCTTAAACTAATCACAGTTCACTACTACTGAAAAGCTGGGGTTTAACATGAAAACCTGTGACTACAAATATTTTGGGATTTCCTCGCATAATCATAACTTAATCCTAATTTTAAACTGATTTAAGGCCGTGGAATATGACCTGGATTATGTGATTTATTTATTTATTTATCGTGTCAGGTGCAAACCAATGTATTTGAGAAAACAAAGTTTAAAAACTTGGTATTCTATTAAATCTCCTTTGACCAGTATCTGGCCACTTGGAGTGCCTCTGGTGTTGCTATAAGAAGGTCCTCCATTGTGCATGTGGCAGGGCTCAGGCTGCATTGTAATAGGTGGTCTGTGGGTTGCTCTTCTCCACACTCGCCATGGCGATTATGTGATTTTAATTGTTGTCTTAATGTTATGTTTTAATTTGTTGGTTTTAATATTTTTATTTATACATTGATGTATGTGTACATGCGGCATTGAATTGTTGCCTTTGTGAGGCCGCCTTGAGTTTTTTCAGGGTTGAGAAAGTATGGTAAATAAATAAATAATCCTTCACTATTGCTTGTGCTGCCTAGGGCTGATGGGAGTTGTAGTTGAGCAGAATCTAGATGGCCACATTTGCATCCCTTCATTTACAATGAAAAGAAAAACCAGGGTCAGCCCATTGTTTTGCATGTTGATTTGTATTCACTAAGGAGTAAGCAAAACCACTATCCTTGGTAAAGCTCAGGCAGGAAAAAGGAAAGTTAATGACATTTGCAAATATATCTGTTATTATATATTGCTGATCATTTTATAGAAACGATTGAAACAGCTCCATCAGTCAGAAATTGCTTACTATACCAGTTCCAAACTATAAACACAGGTGGGTTGAAATACTGTGTTTTGTAAAGAAAACCTAAGCAACTGATTATGACATTTTGATTATGTTTGTACAGCTCCAAGCCCACCTAGAAGGAAGGCCTTTAGGAAATGGACTCCCCCTCGATCACCTTTTAATTTGGTCCAAGAAACACTCTTTCACGATCCATGGAAGCTTCTAATTGCAACTATATTTCTGAACAAGACTTCAGGTAAATACGGATAAAAGCTTAGGACCTCCCACTTCATCCCACACAACAGGATGAATCTGTTTCATTCACGCTGTTTGGCCATGAATCAAGAGTGCCCTTCCACACAGCCATATAACCCAGAATAAGAGGCAGATAATCCATAATATCTGCTTTGAACTGGGTTATTTGATGGCCCTTCCACACAGCCATATAACCCAGAGTATCAGGGTAGAAAACCCCACAGTATCTGCTTTGAATGGGGTTATCTGAGTCCATACTGCCATATATTCCAGTTTCAAAGCACAAAATGGGATTTTATTCAGCTGTGTGGAAGGGGCCTGAGTCCACACTGCCATAGTTCAGTGTGGATTTTATACAGCTGTGTGGAAGGGGTCAGATAATTATGTTGGACATTACGTTGCTGGGTGCAACCCCCGTTAGTCTTAATAACACAGTGTTAAAATGATGATGGAGATTGTGGTCCAACAGAATCCAGAGGACTATACATTTCCTTCCCTTGAATTGCCGAATGGAGTCAGACCTGTATAAATGGGCCTGTCCAAATAATTGTTTCATGAATCATTCTCATTTGTTACAATATATTCTCGATATAAGTATCTGCTGTGCTTTCCTGTAAGAGACTGAAAGACATGATTAGTAGCATAATTCACCTTGAGTGGCTCCTGTGTAGGAAACTGCTTTGCAGAAGCTGTTGTTAACCTTCTGAAAAGATGTTCATGCTTGCCTTACTATTCACAGCTTCTTATTTCTCACTAGGAAAGATGGCTATCCCTGTGCTATGGGAATTTTTCAAAAAATACCCTTCACCCTCAGTAGCAAGAACTGCAGACTGGAAGGAAATGTCAGAGCTCCTTAAACCACTTGGCCTGTATGAACTCAGAGCAAAGACCATCATCCGGTTTTCAGGTAACTTTGTAGGAGGCACATTGGAACTTGGGAGACCCCAAGGGCCACCCAACCCACTCCCCATGCACAGTAAAAGCACTCCCCACAGATGATCATCCAGCCTTTGCTGGGGAAAAAACTCCAAAGAAGGAGACTCCACTACACTCCGAGGCAGCGTAGTCCACTTCGAACAGATGGTTAATAGGTTAATGGTTAATAGGGAACCATCTTATTGTTCCCTATTAAAACCCCGAAAGTAGGTCAGACTTCATCCAATTTTTTTCCTACAGCTGAATCTGAAATTAAAATGTTTTGTTCTTTGACTTCAGAGTAAGAAAACATCAGTGTTTTTGGTGGATATTGTGTAGGGAGAGCAGCATACCCTCTCACTACAAATGGCATCACTTTCAAGTCTGAGGTTACTGTTATTACTGCCAGAGATACAGCTCTGAATAAAATTGTTGATGGAAGGGAAGTGAATCAGGTGATCCCTAGCAACCAATTGGTCTCTAAAAATTCAGCAGGTTTAGGAAGTATGTGTGAACAGGTCTGCGTATGCAACCTTACATTAATGTGGTTAGAAATCACATTGGGCAACATAATAGAGTTCTCTATAGTAGCAGCATATCATTTCTTTGCTTTTTCCATTTTAGGTAAATCTGTGTCGTTCTCTTTTCATAGTTCTCGCAAGTGTAGAAGCACTAGAATTTAATGGAATCCACCAGATCTTTTGATACTCACTTTTTGTTCCTTAGATGAATTTTTAGTGAAGCGATGGAAGTATCCCATTGAGTTGCATGGGATTGGAAAATACGGAAATGACTCTTACAGGATCTTCTGTGTCAACGAGTGGAAGGAGGTAATAGAAATGATGCAGTGTGCCTAAATCCATAGAAGACAATGGAACGTGTGGTCTTGAACCGAGAACAGGCAAGGGCCTACTGCTGTTAGAAATTGTGGGAGTTTAAGTCCAAAACACCTTGAGGGCCAAAGTTTGCCTATGCGTAACCTAGAAGGTGCAAGTCCTGCAATAATAGTAGTTCTGTGCAGGCCTGTAGCCAGGATTTTGTTTGGGGGGGGGGTGAGTTTGTTTGGGGGGGGGCTGAGTCTGAGTGAAAGAGGGTCTACCCTAGCAAACCTTTTATATCGTTACCCCAATACCCCCATGCATATGAGATATATTGAATATGGTGATCAGATCATGATATGAATAAACATAACAGTTTAAATAATGCACCATTAAGGCCTTTTCACGAACCACCATGATCCGGTGTTTTGCCTGAGTAGTCTCAAAAGAGATAAGGACAACCTATGAATTCTTACTACAGTGCTGCCAGTTGGCCCAGTTTAGGCCTTACAAAAGCAGCAGCAATTAATTCTGGGGAAGCGCTTTTAGGCAACACAGAGGAATTGGGAATATCCAAAGCTTTCTGATCTTCACATTCAATAGGTGCTGACAAAGATTATTTTGGAATATGTGTGTGTATGTAAATATATATCTTCCAAGAGATGGGGTGCAGTTTTAGCTCTGGGTTTGCTCATCCACTTCCAGGGAATAAAATAGCTAGGCAATAAAGGAAGCTCATCTAAAGAAATCTTAGGGTTACCATAGGTCCAAAATTATTTGAAGGCACACAAATTAAAAAGTTCAGTAATGAGCTAAGATCTGATTTCTATTGTATGTGTAATGGCTGCAAGCATGGCCCACATTTTGTGTTTCTAAATTAAAATAGTTGTAACTTTGACTCTCTTTCAGGTACAGCCACAGGACCATAAACTGAATATATACCATGCCTGGCTTCAGGAAAACTATGAGAAACTGAATCTTCATAACTCTACATAGACACATGTTTTACCCTTTTAAAATACATCTTGCTATTTATACCACTCATCTCAGTTAAGATAAATATAACTGTTATTTTATAATTATCTGGGTACTATATTAAATTCTAGAGTTGGTCTGCATAGATAATATCATTCAGATATTGTAATTAATGTAGACTAACATAATAGAAATGACAGCCTGTTCAAATCATTCAGTCATTTTAACAGTGTAAATTGTGGAACATGTTCAAATGCAACATAGCTGCAGAATATTCTTTCAAAAGCCACTGCAGTGGATGGAGTTTAATAATGCATTCACTTTGAGTTATGATGTTAGAAATACAGTTCCAAGAGATACTAGGCTCATGCACTCACTGGCCTCTTCCTTTTGCCAATTTGTGGGTCACTGCTGCAGTCGCTCAGCCAAAATTTGAAGGAAATACATATAAACTACTAGAAAAAAGGCTGAATGTAGAACTTAGAAAGTTTTCTTTCAGGAGCTGCTATTCTTAAAATCCCTCAATCATGAAAGCCAGTGGCTATGCTGGACGGCTTCTATGAGTTGTCGTTCAACATTAGCTTTTCCAAGTTCTATAAAGATCAATTGTATTAGTATAATAAATAGCATTTAAGGTTACAGTGAATGCGAGATGTATAAGACACCATTACTTTAAAAAAATCAGTTGTTTACTCAGTCCTTGCTTCTTTCTGTTATTTCAAAATGAGAGTATTAGAAAAGTAAGAGTGTGAGTGCACGAAATTTCAATAGTGACTTCCATATCACCTGGAAAATTTCCTCTGTATCATGTTAACTTGTCTTTCACAGATGCAAATTATTTGCTCAATTTTGTAAATAAATGTTTATTACATTTATATCTTACTTCCTCCCCCCCCCCTTTGAAACCTTTTTAGTAAATGGGAATGATTCTCAAAGGTTTGTAAACATAATGACAAAAAGCAAGATTTTTTTTAAAACCACTATTATTATATTTGATGTTTTATCAGAAATGTTGGATTTGCACTTGATTATATATATATATAGTTATATTTAAGCTAGTCCAATTGGTTCCAGTACAAATTCTCTCTGTAGTGTTCCTGTTAAAAATAGATTCCTGTCTAGAGTTGTATATATTATTTTTTAAATAAAAATAAAAAATACAGTATCTTTATCTCGCCCTTTCATCCTGTGAGATCTCAGAATGGCAAACAGATAAAATAATATGAACAATGCAGACAAAGGTCTGGAAACCATGCCATATGTTACACAGTTTGGGAAGCCTAAATAAGGTTAAAAAAGGACATGTTAGCCACTGTCATGCCTCCATAAGAACTCTCATTGTTTATCCCTATTTCAGCCCTTTTTTAGTTAGAGGTAATTAGCATTTTGTGTACAGTTTTGTTGGGGGTCAGTCTAGATAACCTCTTCCCTTTGAAGCTTCCATCACCCTTCCCCTTTAAGAATCCCCTCAGGGGCAGAACCTCAGGCAAGGCACTTCTGGTTCTTGGAGGAGTCAGCCTTTTTGGTGACTGGAAGGTGAAGAGAGAGGAAGGCTGACAAGTCTACAAAATAGCATATCCAGTCGGAGCTGTATTCAAGTCCAGTCAGAGTTAAATATTGAGACCATCTTAGAGACAGTTGAACACCATATTAGAAAGAGATAAGAGAAAAGTAAAGATTCAAGAGCCTCAGTTCACCTGAAGGTGCAGGTTCTTACCTACAAAGCGCTGAACGGTTTGGGACCCGCCTACCTGCGTGACTGCATTTCTGTGTACGAACCCACACGATCTCTTCGATCATCTGGAGAAGCTCTGCTCACGCCCCCACCTCCTTTGCAGGCGCAATTGGTGGGGACGAGGGAGAGGGCCTTCTCAGTGGTGGCCCCTTGATTCTGGAACTCACTTCCCAGGGATATCAGACATGCTGCAACGTTGGCAGTCTTTAGGAGGAGCCTGAAAACATGGATGTTCCAGTGTGCCTTCCCAGAATAAGGAGAACTCTCAGCAATATGCCCTCATAATGCACTTTAATATTGACTTAGGATGGATTGCGTTCCCTCATTTCTCTGAAAATCCTATCCCAGTAATTTTTTACCTTGTTCAAGTCAGCATATTTTCAATTTTAATCTATTATATGCGGCCCGGCCATTTTTAAAATTGTTTATATGTCACCATTGATTGTTTTTGTCTATGTGATTTATGATTTGTATTTTATTGATTGTTTATTGAGGTTGTGTTTATTGATGTTTTGCTTGATGTACTTTGGGCTTGGCCTCATGTAAGCCGCATCGAGTCCCTTGGGGAGATGGTAGCGGGGTACAAATAAAGTTTATTATTATTATTATTATTATTATTATTATTATTATTATTATTGCTCCTGGGCTGCAAGAATCAGGCCTTCTGTCTCCTTCAGGGTTCCATTCGTGAGCCATAACCACGTCTTCTTATCAACTTTTCCTTCAGTTTTGTCAATGCTTTGTTGTTGTTCTTGTTACTATTGTTGTTGTTATGTAGTTTGGTTATTTTTATTGTGTCATCCGCAACCAGAACATTGTATTACATTTCTAACAACAAAACAAACAAACAGATAAAAAAAACCCACACATTTTGCAAACTTGGTAGCTGATTAAATGTCCTTTGACCAGTATCTGGCCACTTGGAGTACCTCTGGTGTTGCCGCAAGAAGGTTCTCCATTGTGCATGTGGCAGGGCTCAGGTTGCATTGCAGCAGGTGGTCAGTGGTTTGCTCTTCTCCACACTCGCATGTCATTGACTCCACTTTGTAGCCCCATTTCTTAAGATTGGCTCTGCATCTCATGGTGCCAGAGCGCAGTCTGTTCAGCGCCTTCCAAGTTGCCCAGTTTTCTGTGTGCCCAGGGGGAGTCTCTCATTTGGTATCAGCCATTGATTGAGGTCTGGGTTTGAGCCTGCCACTTTTGGACTCTCGCTTGCTGAGGTGTTCCAGCGAGTGTCTCTGTAGATCTTAGAAAACTATTTCTTGATTTAAGTTGTTGACGTGCTGGCTGATACCCAAACAGGGGATGAGCTGGAGATGTCTCTGCCTTGGTCCTTTCATTGGCTGCTACTTCCCGGCGGATGTCAGGTGGTGCAATACCAGCTAAGCAGTGTAATTTCTCCAGTGGTGTAGGGCGCAGACACCCGTGATAATGCGGCATGTCTCATTAAGAGCCACATCCACTGTTTTAGTGTGGTGAGATGTGTTCCACACTGGGCATGCGTACTCAGCAGCAGAGTAGCACAGCGCAAGGGCAGATGTCTTCACTGTATCTGGTTGTGATCCCCAGGTTGTGCCAATCAGCTTTCGTATGGTATTGTTTCTAGCACCCACTTATTGCTTGATATTCAAGCAGTGCTTCTTGTAGGTCAGAGCATAGTCCAGAGTGACTCCCAGGTATTTGGGTGTGCTGCAATGCTCCAGTGGGATTCCTTCCCAAGGTAATCCTCAGAGCTCGGGATGCTTGTCAGTTCTTAAGATGAAAGGCACATGTCTGTGTTTTAGATGGATTAGATGTAGTGTGGTAGGGTACCAGCACTCTTGGGAAGAAGCCCCAAGGCCTTGTGAAACTGCAACTCCCAGGATTCCAGGGCAGTGAAAATGGCATTGACCCTCCAATTTAGGCGCACCCCGGCCAGCCTCTTGCTCCTCCTTTCCCTCGAAAAGGCCTGCGGGGCGTCCCCAGCCAATAAGGAGCGAGTGGGCGTGCCTGTTGCCTTGGAACCCGCGCCAATGCTGCTTGTGCTCTCACGGAGGCGCGCCAAAGGGCAGAGCGCCTTTCCTTCTGTTTCTCTCTCTCTCTGTGTGTGCTTTGGGATGCGGAGAGGCCTTCGTCATGCTGAGCAGCAGCTCCTCCGACAGCGCCAAGAGGCGGCGTACATCCCAGGGAGGGAGCCGGGCCTCCCAAGCCCTGCGCAGCTCCCTCGCCACGCCTCACACGGAAAGGAAGCCCGTGAGCGTGTAGGTCGAGTTTGGCTTGGGAACTGTCCTTTTGCAGTGTCTTTGGCCTTCGACGCTCCATGCAGTCATGCCGGCCGCATGACCTTGGAGGCGTCTACGGACAACGCCGGCTCTTCGGCTTAGAAATGGAGATGAGCACCCACCAACCCCCAGAGTCGGACGCGACTGGACTTAATGTCACGGGAAAAACACCTTTACCTTTTACCTTTGATTTCTCTGTCAAATAGTGCTGGGGTCTTTCTGAATTCTACCCTTCAATGCAATGGGATGCTGGGATTGGTAGTTTTCCTGAGTCAGCAGCACTCTTTGGCAGAGAAGGCTAAACAACCTTGGGAAACTACAACACCCAGGATGCCAAACAGCATTGATTCTTGTATTGTCGAAGGCTTTCATGGCCGGAATCACTGGGTTGTTGTAGGGTTTTTCGGGCTATATGGCCATGGTCTAGAGCAGTGTTTCTCAACCTGGGGGTCGGGACCCCTGTGGGGGTCGCGAGGGGGTGTCAGAGGGGTCACCAAAGACCATCAGAAAACATAGTATTTTCTGTTAGCCATGGGGGTTCTGTGTGGAAAATTTGGTCCAATTCTATCGGTGGGGTTCAGAATGCTATTTCATTGTGGGTGAACTATAAATCCCAACAACTACAACTCCCAAATGGCAAGGTCTATTTTCTCCAAACTCTACCAGCATTCACATTTGGGCATATTGAGTATTTCTGCCAAATTTGATCCAGATCTATCATTGCTCGAGTCCACAGTGTTCTCTGGATGTAGGTGAACTACAACTCCAAAAACTCAAGGTCAATGTCCACCAGACCTTCCCAGTATTTTCTTTTGGTAATGGGAATTCTGTGTGCCAAGTTTGAGTCAATTCCATCATTGGTGGAGTTCAGAAGGCTCTTTGATTTTAGGTGAACTATAAATCCCAGCATCTACAACTCCCAAATGACAAAATCAATCCCTGTCCAACCCCACCAGTATTCAAATTTGAGCGTATTAGGTATTGGTGCCAAATTTGGTCCAGTGAATGAAAATATATCTTGCATATCAGATATTTACTTTACGATTCATAACAATAGCAAAATTATAGTTGTGAAGTAGCAACAAAAGTAATTTTATGGTTGGGGTCACCACAACATGAGGAACTGTATTAAGGGGTCACGGTATTAGGAAGGTTGAGAACCACTGGTCTGGAGGCATTCTCTCCTGACGTTTTTGCCTGCATCTATGGCAAGCATTCTCACTACCTCTGAGGATGCTTGCCATAGATGCAGGCAAAACGTCAGAAGAGAATGCCTCTCTAGACCATGGCCATATAGCCCGAAAAACCCTACAACAACCCAGCATAGATTCTGTAGTAGATGCACCCAATACTATGAAATGAGGAGAGTTGTAGTTTTACAAAGTTTTTAGCCTCCAATTCCCAGGATCCCAGAGCATTCCGCCATGGCAACAAAAGTGGGGTCAGACTGCATTAATTCCGCAATGTAGATGCACATTTCAGTAGTAACATTTGGACTGCATTCATACTGGAGTTAATGCAGCTAGACCAGGTGTGGGCCAACTTGGGCCTTTCATCCAGGTGTTTTGGACTCCAACTCCCACCATTCCTCACAGCCTCAGCCCCCTTCCTTTCCCTCCTCAGCCACTTAAGAATGTTAGAATGTTGAGGCTGGCCAATCAGAAACCATATGCAAATGAGCAGGTCAAGATAGCTCATGCATGGGCCTTCCTACCTGGTGTTTTGGACTTCAACTCCCACCATTCCTCACAGACTCAGACCCTTTCCTTTTCCCACTCAGCTGCTTGAGCATTACTTATGTTGACATAAACCTCTGGGAGTTGTTATTGTCATTACATTTATGTTACATTTATGTATATCTTTCCTATAAGCACTCAAGATGGCTTATAGCAGTTGAACATAGCCAAAATGCAAGCTATCATTGCAAAAATTCCCTTATTTTGCCTTCAGTTTCCTAACTTCTGAAATGAATGTATGTATTAATATATATTTACTTACATTTTTATTGTTTGCAGATTTGTGCATTGTTCAGGCCCTGATTTGAGGTAAGCGTATTCCTCTCTTTACAAATGGGTGAAAAAAGAAGGTTAATCATATAAATTCTACAACAATAATAATAATATCTTATTTATTTATTTATTTATTTATTTATTTGCTGCATTTGTTGACCGCCGCTCTCAGCCCTCGGGCGACTCGCGGCGGTGTACAACATAT